ACTATTACAGAATAATCAAGTTCAGGATGTAATCAAGTCTTTTTGGCAAGACAAAATTAGTTTGGTTTCATTTTTTTCTGTAAGGAACTGTCTCTTTTATTCTTTATTGTGTCTATAGGTTGATACATTAAAATCTTTAGAGGATTAAGTAATATGATCAGAGAAGTAGAAACAAACTTGACAAATAGTAAAAAACAAACATAAAAATGAGAAAGAAGAAATGAGTACTGAATTTGTTCAACAATGTTCCAACTTCCAGTGAATGGTGTAGGTTGAGGTTCATAAAATTTAGAGTCAGTTTGTCAATATTTATTCTGGCTTTTAAATGTACAGAAGAGAAAGAAAGAAACTATATGCTTGATGACTAGGAACAGAATTCTGTACTGTGATGACTGAGACAAAAAAAGAAGGTGGATTCCAGTTAGAAATCAGCCAATCCTTAAGTTAATGATTAAACCTCCAGCCAAGGCTAACTAGGTGGCAAAGAAGTCTAAACTCCACAAGCATTTGAATTCTGCAGGTCTCCCAGATTGCACCATATCAATGTCACTATAAATGAAAACTTTCATTTCTAATTTATGGCTCATGCATGTAATGCAACAGCGACAGACCAACTGCTAGCTGGGGGATGCTTTTGGCTATTAATAAGGATCTATTGTGAAAAAGCAAAACATAGCCCAAAACTTTAAAAGAATCCATAATGATGCATAAGGAAAATGGGAAGTAACTGTAAAATATAGAGTGAGAACTTCTCTTCCTTATGTATTACTCCTAAAACTTACTACTAGAATTCATTCTCCTGCCTTTCTTCTTTCTTTCTTTTATTCTCTTTCTCTCTTTCTTTCTCCTAGCATTCCTGGCTTTCCCCTCTTTCTCTCCCTCCTTCTCTTTTCTCTTCACCCTTCTTATTCTCTTCTTCCTCCTTTTTTGCGACGCTCGCTATGGAGCCCAGGGCTTATGTATGCTAGGCAAGTGGTCTACCACTGAACTGTATCCTCAGCCTTCTTGTCATTTCTCATACTCCAGAATTTTTTTTTTTGTGGAACTACTCCTTTGAGACCACAAAATACTCTTTAAATTTATGCCTTTAGAAAGGCTGATAGTCTTCCACACAAAAACATAAAATAGTTCAATTTATTTATTTCACTCAGTTCTTACTTGCAGTATGCTAAAGAAATATTGACTTGAAAACAAGAAGTCAAGACCAGCTGGGTGACATATGAAAACTGAGACCAGAATGAAGACTGTTGGTGCATGGAAAAGAGTTTCAAAAGAATGCTGGGGATGTAAGGTGCGAAGAAAGGGACTGACATTATTTCCACCTATTTTAGCACCAACCAAGGCTGGTGCTGTTCTCACTAACAAAGGAAAAGAAATTTCCTCCTCTGCTTACTGCATAAAATTACTCCAGCTCCTGGGACCTGATATAAATCTGTTACCATAATACATCTTAGACATTTAATAGGTATCTTGTAGCTAACTTAGTGACATGACTTTTGTAGGAAAATGAAGGTCATTTCAAGCAATTTAAAGGAAGTATTTTTCTAGCTCTAAAAATAATGGTGAATTTGGGAGAATATCATGAAGATTGAACTATACGAAATTCTTAATATTCAAGTTACTATGACCAGCAAAAATGGCAATTTGAAATAGTTAACCTAAAAACTGATCAGTTGAAAATCACTTAACTCAAACTATATTACCAGAATAAAAAGTCTGAAAAGCTACTAGTTATGCTCTATAGTAGAGGGATTAAGTAGATATCATCTCTATTGGTCTTGAAGAAATATTGTGATTGATGATGTTACAAGTCATGTTGCTAAAAATATTTGTTGTAAGTCCAATTCCCGGGATCAAGCTTTCTGTGTCATGTCAATTTATTCTGTTTGTTATTTAGGGCTATAGACAGCAGCTCTGTCTACAGCCCTAAGCAACCTAAGACATCACAATCCACGGGTGTTTTAAGTTGAGGTCCACAGTGGGCACCATGAGTTTCAGGGAAACTGTAGGTGAATTCAATTTTTTCTTGCATCACTTAATATTCAGAAAAGGGTTTTGCCATGTGCCTTGTAGCCAGGCTACAAGAGAAGACTACTTTTATATTTTCCTCTTGCTTTGCAAAATAGCAATTTAAAAGTCTCTAATTTGTCATCTAGATGAATGCTTTTTCAGTTCTTTCATTATTAGATTTTAAAAGTTAAAAAAATCTGTATTTATGGTTCTATGCATAGGTTATTTATGTAATTATATGCAACCATCATTATATGATGATAGTTCTTGAAGGACAAACTGGCTGTTCTCTAAGATTTTTTTGCACTACATATTTCTTTAATATCATGTCTTACTTAATAAATATTTTAAAATATGATTAATTTAAAATTTAAGCAGAGAGGGCTACAGAGGTAGTTTGGTGGTAAATTACATGCTGAGAATGTCTGAGGCTCTGTGACTCATAAAAAATTACCACAATGAGATGCAAGCAGACAAATGTTTTACTTATGAAAGCACAGAGCCCCTCCCTATATAAATGTTTATATCCTGTTCTTGTTCATTTTGGTGACCTTACCATCATTGTAATTTTTAAAAATAATTCTTAGGAACTGTGGGAGGCAGAACAGAGACACGGAGGATTTTGATAATGGAAATTGATATTTATTCTGTAAATATTTGTAACTACATGTTATGTGATAGGTCTTAGGCAAGGTACTTCCTCCTTTCCTTAACTTCTGGAAGGCTTCTTGTGTAAACAAGCATTTTTTTTTTCTTTGAGCATTCATTTTAAGCATGCTTAAAATGCTTCCCATAGATAAATGGTGCTCTGTTCTACATAAACATAGCTCTTGGTTAGTTCACCTGCAGGGAAAATCATTCACAGCACAGCACTGAGATGGGTCCCGCGCACTTGGTTAAGGCAGACACAGCACAGATGATCTATACATGAGTTAGAGGGTACTTTGTATGGATGGCAGACTGCTTTTGACCAGATCTCCAGTACTGATGAAAGAAAGTTCAGAGGGAAGATTTTAAAAAGGAGGGTGGTAAGGAAAGAGATTATTGGCATAGGAACTGGTGTAGTACAGAAATGCCAAAATTGAACAAATTTTTGAATTACCCAAATTCCCAAATTCTATAAACACCATCCAAACACAGGAAGAGAGCCTGACAAATTCATTAAGGTTGATACTTAAGACAATTTTATAAAGTCACAAGATTTCCTTATTTCAATTTGGATTTGGTATAGATGATGTAATAATCTTAATGGTTTCCATATGCTTACATTCTCAACATTTAAAAATACTGAGACATACACTATTTCTCTAAGGCAGCACATACATATTGTGAGAATTCTTTTCAGTTTTGCAGGTGACAAAACTGCTTGGAGGTAGAGCCACTTGACTACCTCTAAACCTCACTGGGAAATGCCTGAGGTAAGCCCAGGGTGCAAGGCCTTAGCTGTCTGTACAAAGCTAACTTCTTGCGTGTTTCTCCAACGGTAGAGTACACATGACTTTATCAGGGAAATCCCTTCAGTTTACATGGAATATCCCACATGCCCGAGATCTCCCAATTTCTTTCATTCTTCCTTTCCAAACTACCTTCCTAGCTCTACTGCGTGGCCAACCTCTCCAGAGTCCACTTTGGATTATGCCACTCTCCTGCCTCAGCATCTCTGTTGGCTCTACACAGCCTACCAAATAAAGGACAAACTTCCCAGACTGGCAATCAGGGGCTCTGTCTCAGCTCCATCCACCCCGCCAATCCTCCTTCCAGTTCAGTGTGCCAGTTCTTGCCACTTTTATACTAACCAAGGAGAGCCAGCAATAGGGTGAGGAAGGACACAAAATTTAAGAAAATTTTGCCAAAGAACTTGCACTTTCACATAATATTTTAAATATAAAAATAAAACTTGCTCAAAATACATACCAAATAAAAAGCAAAATTTCAAATAAAGACAGAATCATTGTTACTGATACTTCCTTTTGCTCCAGACTCTAAAAATATCTCTCAGGAGCTGTTGTTTCCCAGTTACTTTTATACAATGCTGTTTCCCCAAAGTTAGTTCTCACAACCCCTTTCTACATTCGTTGCCTCTCTTGTCTTGAAATGGTCAGACATCTATCAGGAGCTCACTTCTGTTAGGAAAACCTATTTCCCCTAGTAGTTTGAAGATAGTCTGAATCATGTTGGATCCTTTCCAGGCTCTTTCTAAACTACAGTGGGCTCTCCGCACCTTTCAGGAAAAGGTTTATTGTCTCCCATTGGCCGAACAGGGAAGGTCTGGAAAAACTGAATTTGTTATTGAGATTTGATAGCCAGGATATTTTACACGAAGAAAAAAAAATCTAAATATCTGTCATTTCTTGAAAAACAAGAAAATCCAGCTTCAGGACTGATATTTTGCAGGGCAGCAGTGGACCTTTAGAGCAGCCCTGCTCTAGAACTCTGCCAGCCAACTGGCTCCTGCTTTTTCCTTCATTCCCAGTGCCTATGAGGCCTCATTAGCATGACGCTTTACGCATGAAAGAATGAGTGGACTGCATAAAAGCCCATCTGCTGGGCCCACTCTTTCTCTCCTGGAGAATAAACGTTCCCTGGTTGCCCTGAGAGACTTACAGAAGCAACTCGCTACAAACTTCCCGCAGCCCTTGAAACTCACAACGTCTTCCACACTGACCCCTTTCTCCCCGGTCCTTCCCTCAGAGGCTCTGCTTTTCCTCCCTTGACTCCCCGGGCTGGGGGCTCTGCTGCGCCCCTCCCCAGTTCTTCGCCGGCCCGGGTGCGGGCTCGCCCCCCGGCGGCACTGGGCATGCTCAGAGGCGGCAGCGGGGGCAGGTTCGCTCCGCAGGCGCTCGCACTCGGCGGTGGCGGGCGGGCGGGCGGCGGCTCGCGGCTGCCGCGGGAGCGCCGGCTCCGGAGTTGGAGTTGCCGGGGAGTTTCCCCCACCACCCCTCCCTGTTGGCGCGCGGCAGCTGGCGCCCGCGCGGGAGCAGCCGGCAGCTGCCAGTGAGTACCGGGCCGCCAGTCCAGTCCGGAGCCCGGAACCCCGCGCGCGCGGGGCAGCCCCCGGGGAGGAGCCTCGCCGGCTGGGACGCGTGCAGCACGCTGCCACCGCCGGGCCACTCGTCCGTCTGCAAGGTAGGGCCAAAGTGTCGATGGGGGAGGAAGAGGCCAGGCCAGGGGTGTGCGGTGGCAGCCGCTGCAGCTGCTGGGGCCCCTGGCGCGCGGTCCGGTGCGCGCTGCCGGGGCAGGGCAGGGGCCGGGCTGCGGGGCGGGAGGAGCCGGCAGGCGCCCCGAGCGCTGCCTTGGGGTGGCGGGCGGCGGGAGAGGGGCTGCGCGCCCCGGCGCTGCTGCTTTGTGCGCGCTGAGGGGACTCTGCTCCTGACTCTGTCCGAACCTGGGACCTGCTGTGCGCACAAGGTTGGGCAAACCTCAGACTAGCGGAGCGGTTTCCTCAGAGAAAGTTGAGGATGGAGCCTCTCTTTTGGCACTGCCTCTGTGGCCGTGTGGCCCCTGAGGGTGCCGCCTGGAGGCTTCCCGTGCGGTGGACTCATGGGTCCTTGCGCCCGAGGCTGAGCTCCTCCACCCCCCTGCTGAAATCACTGAATTGTCCCCTATCTTTGTGTATCCTGACGTCTTCTAAGAATATCTGCTACCAGACTGAAACGGTCTCCTCGGCGGGTGCAACTGCCTGCCCCTAGGACCGTTAGCCCTGGGCGATGCCCCCTCCCAAACCTCAGCCCCAGTCAAGGGCGCCGGGTTCACAATTCGCACTTGCGGTGCTCTCCGCACACACAAGGCGAAGCAACTGGCTGGAGTAGGTGGGTGCCCCGATTTTTCCTTCCGCGTTTCTCAGGTTTGTAACTCCCCGCCACGCTCACCGTCGCACAGGTCAGGGCCTGGTGGGTCAGGTGAAGAGTTTAGACTGGCGTTCTCTTCCGCAGGAGACGGTGCGTGAAGTGTGCTGCCTGTGATTCTGGCCCAGGACTTGATAATGAACCTTACCCCCTTCTGTTATCTTTCCCTTAGCTATTGGGTGGGAAAGAATAGTACCAGTGGGTCCACAAGGCACTTTAGCTCTCTCATTCTATCCTGTCCTAAGTTAGCTCTCTGGGCCACCCCCGAGCTCTGAACTGGCATTGAGCTGACTGCGAGGGTGTGGAAGATGCCTATGGTCTCTCGGTCTCTCTGGGCTCCACTTCCTTCGCTTCTTGTTTTGAGTTTTGGGGTTTTGCCTGCGCACGAGTCAGAGCTGCGCTGTCATAACTCTGGGATGGGGCGGGGGTGGGGTGGAGTGGGATGGAGGTGGGTGGGGTGGAGGAGCGTCAGCCTAGGCAAGGAGCCGCTGTTTGCCTCTGAGGCTGCTAGTGGGAGTCTGTCCAGAAATGATTATGCAGGCTAGAAATATGTCTCACTGTCTTTCTTTTCCCCCCTTTTTTGGCTAAGCACCTTAGTGTTGGGTTTGTGTGTTAAATTATTAAAGGAGCACCTACACACTGCTCAATGCCATGTTGTAGGAACTCACTAGATGTGCTGAATGTTTTTCTCTTTGTTTTTCTTTAAGGTCTGTCCACTTTGGGACAGAGTCCTAGATACTGGAGTCGGGTAGTATGGATACACTACATTGGTTCCAGAGTCAGAGAGCTATGAAATCAGGTTGCAACTTTACAGCTGAGTGGTAGAGCTGATAGACAAATTGTTTGCCACTTTCAACATCAGTTTTCTCTTCTGTCAAATGGGCTTAATCGTGACTATTCCTCTCCCTTACCGGGTTGTTGTGAGATTTGAATAAGATAATGGAAATGAAAAGTGCTAAGAAAACTTCAAAGTGCCAGTCATGCCTTACAAATGATCTCTATGCATTGCACTCATTTTTTTGGAATTAACTGTTATATTTAACAAAACAGCTTTTTTTTTTTTTCCCCAGCTAAGTATCAGGAAACTTACTGATTCAGCTCTTTAAAACTAGCTAGCCAATTGCTGCCCTCTCCTCCCCTCTTTCCTGTAATCCATCTCACTTTTGATTTGATTTGCAGTGTTGGAACTTCAGTTCTCATACCTCTTTGAGGGAGCCAGTGTGGTACCGCTTAGGAGACCACCTAGATTGCCTTACCAACATTAACAATGCTAGGCTCCAGCGTCATCATGTCAGCAGAACCTTGGTTTGACATCCAAGGTTGATGAAGTTGGGAGGCCCTAGGATGGAACTCTGACTGGATGTCTGATAGTGTCCTTCAGCTGAGGACACAAAACTCTCACCAGTGAAATCGGTCTTTGAGACTATTAGCCAAAGCCAGTCATAGGCATGGAGAGGAGAAATTGTCTGTCACTGTCAATAAGGGGTTAATGAGGCTCCTGAGTCAACCTAAGTGTGCATCTTCCTTGATCCTTGGGCAGTGATTCTCAGTTTGAACATGGCATCTCCTGGAGGGCTTGGTAAACCAGATTGTTGGGCTACACTCCTAGAGACTGATTGCGTAGGTCTAGAGAGGAGGACCAACAATTTACATTTTTAACTGATTTCAGGTGATTCTAAGGCTATCGAATTACTAATATGATGAGAGAAAAAAGTGAGATTCATTCTGAAATGCCATTATGTTAGTACTTCCTATGTAGAGTAAGGATTTCTTACAAGTGTTCTAGGAAGTTGCCATAAGGATTTTGTATTCCAATACCTGGTCCCCTTACCATTGTCCAGTTTTAATGATTCTGAATAATCTTTAAATAAATGAATTTACAAAAAATATAAGTTTTTGCATTTTATCTGTCATCTATTTAATGACTAATTATGCTTTCCTTTATTCGGTTTTTCAGAGTCTTGTGCAAAGCAGGTTGCATATGACTCTGACAGCTTGAACTATATGGTTTGAAGACAGGTAAAATCACTTAGGAGCAAATTTGAAAAGTATCAAATTTTCAGTAGTATCTTCTCTGGACCCAGGACTTTTGAGGAGTCTGAAGTACACTGTGTGACAAATTGTCTCATGGTGCTCTTCCATGCATTCTGGAGGAGGTGGTGTTGGCAGTAGCTGAGACCCTGTCTTACTGTCTAAGGGGGAGGAAAGTCAGTTTTCAGAGACAGCTGGGTAGTGCCAGGGGGAGCCTTGGGTAGATAGAATTGTTTTTTTCGATTAAGCACTATTTGGACACAACCCAAACTTAACTTCTTTTCCTTGTTTCCCAAACCATGCTGAGAGTTTTTCAGGACTTGCTGTGACTAGATTGTGGCCTTGAACTTTAACTTCTTTGAATCAGAGAGTTCAGGAACCTGCTTGAATCAGGAGGGTGTCTGAGATAACACCCTAAGGAAGAAATAAAATTTGTCAGGTAGCACCCAAATGGCTGAAGTGTCTGAGGAGGTCATTCATCACTTTTAACGAGCTCTTATGTTGCTACCCCGAATGGAATCTTAGTGGAACATCATCCTTTATCTCAGCTTTCCATTTGTGCTTTGTTTTAATATTAAAATGATTAGCTCTAGAGTGAATCCGAAACCTATTCAAAAACTGAAGTGTACCACTTAATGTTTTGGCAGATAAAAACCCAAGGCCCAAACCTGCCTTCCTGGCAGTAATCAGTGCTTGGTAAAGGAGAACCTTTGGACTGTAATTCTTTGGATGTGGTAGCTTGTGTAAATGCTTTCTCCCACTTAACACAAGTAGGGAACATTTCTGTTTTAAAATTCCTTCCCATAACTTGATGTGTATATTTTGGGTGTTCCTCTGCTTTTTGCTGTGGGGTTTATTTTTCAATGTGAGCAAAGCGGTTTTCCTTATCACTGTTTGGTTTTCTTAGCAGTGACCCTCTGATATCTTTGCACCAAAATAAATCTGTTGTGAGACAATCATTACTTTAGGACAATTAATTTCTCTTTGAATGTTAAGACTCTCATCCCTAGGTCACAGAGTCAAGGCCCATTCCTGGAATCAGACTCCAACTTTCCTGGAGGGAGCTTTTAACCAAAAACCATGGTTAACACTTCAGTAGCTCAGTTCTTACAACCATTTTTTTTTCTTGTTTTACCATTTTCCAATTTCAGAAACACAGATGGGTCTTAAACATTATGAACACATTTAATATACAGTTTTTCCTCTTATCATGTTAAGAAGTCCTACCAATGGTGATGGTGTCTTAAAACAAAGCAAATGTATTTCCTCAATCCAGTAGAAAATGTGGTTTCTACTCAGTGCTGTCCAACTGATAGAATTGAGCGGCAATTGAATTAGCTCAGCAGTTGCCAGAGTTTGTTGAAGAATGCTGTTAGGGTTGATGTTAATAGGTGTGCTCTTGTAAAGGGCAAACCAATTTGGGAAGCACTGCACATTATCTTTTCCTCTTACAGAGTTTCTCATGACACCCCTCATTATATCAGAGACTCTGAAGAAGTACCTTAGATAACAAAATGCTGGCTAAATTTATTCAACTGGATGTTTGCTTTCCAGAACACAGAATGTTTTTAAGCTTTTATTGGTATCTTTTAGGACATCAGTACTGACCTAGCACATTCAAACAATACTAGTATATTGTTCAATGCTAGCTAAGGGTGAGGCTTTAAACTAGTATATAAACAATAAATAAAGGATACATAAATCAATTTTATGGATATTAATTAGTGAACTCTACAAGTAGTTAGTAGTTTTTGTTTTTGTTTTAAAGAGAAACGGAGCCAGGGTGTGATGGTGCACTCATGTAATCCCATCACTTGGGAGGCTGAGGTAGGAGAATCTTTTGAAAGTTAGAGACCAGCCTGGGCTACAAAGTGAGCCCAAGGTCAGCCTGAACTGCATAGTGAGACCTTGTCTGAAAAAGACAAAATAAATAAATAAATAAAAATAAAGACAAACATTTTAAACTGTGTTTGCTAAGAAAGTCTGCATGGGGGCTGGGGATTTAGCTCAGCGGCATAAGCGCCTGCCTTGTAAAGCAGGCAGTCGTGAGTTCCATCCCTGGTACTGATAAAAAGGAAAAAGACACCCCCCCCCCAAAAAAAAAAGAAAGAAAGTCTGCATGGGGTGGGGGATTTAGCTCTGTGGCATAAGCATCTGCCTAGCAAGTGCAGATTGTGAGTTCAATCCCGGGCACCAAAAAAAAAAAAAAAAATCTGCATGAAGTGCTGGACAATGATAATGTAAATGATG